GTATGCCAATGAAATTCTCATTCTCACAGGCCAGATCTATGTAAAGACTTCTTTGGTTGGTATCAGGAAAAGATCATATTTTGCGGTAATATGGTCACCTGAAGTCAATATTTTACTACAGTGCAAAGGAAGTTTTTAACTGGAAAGAATAAAGCATTGTTTATGGTACTCTACTGCTCTTTTATTTATGGCAGGGGTGTCAAACTCTTCAGTGGAGAGGTCTGAATTATGTACTCGGAACTCGGGTATCAATTCAGGGCTTCTCACTTCCCCCGCTTCACACACTGCTTCCACGGCACAAACAGCCAGGCGCAACAGGATCTTTATCGAGTAACAGCTCTTTTAGAGGGAGAATGTGCCACAGCAGCACACCACAAGCATTTCATCTCCATCCCCTGCTCCCTCGTGGCCCGCCCGGCAGCAAACGACTTCCTCCAGCACTGCGCTGGCTTCTTTCTGCTGCAGGGAAGCAGAAAGCTTAAGTGCACAGCAGAAGTGCGAACTTCCCAGAGACACAGCCCTGCCAGCAGGCTTTTCTCCCCGGCCCTGACACGGTCAGCCCGAATTTGCCAAGGGCAGCAACCTGTGGGGAACACAGAGGGGAGGGCACCAACTGCAAGAGGAAAGAGTTTAATGGTATACCAAGATCTTTTTCTGCATGCACGTGGCCTTCAGCATCATTGTAAATAATACTTTTAATAAAGAGCCGATTAACAATCTCATTACTATCCAGCATGCGATGTAGGAAGGACTACCGTACGGCATAACTGAGCAAAGGTGCATTCTCTGCTTCACATTTCCTGCTATGATATATGTAGGCATAAGGAGGCCTAAATAGATATACAAGAGACAAAAAGCATGGAGGACTGAGAGGATGGCATGCAACCTTATAAAGAAGGTCCCACGGCCTGGCATTTTGTATCAACGCCCATTAATAAAATCCAGATCAACGCGCTGCAATAACCCCGCACAAAAGGCCTGAGCACCGATTACCCCGGCTGGCTCTGCCGTAGCCTCCCTGGTGCTGGGCTCGGCGCTGGGGCAGGGCTCTGCACGGGGCGGGGGGACTGTGGCATGGGGACAGCACAAGCTGAGAGTCAGCACCAGAGCTGGAGGCAGGACCACAGGCTTTCTGCAGAGCGGTGAGTGAGGATGTTGGGAGATGGCCCGTGCAGGGAAGGTGGGGGATGAGGGGAAATCTGGGCATTGTGGGCGTCCGTGATTTTTTGAGAAAAGAGCCCAGGACTGGAGATGCTTTACCAAAATCGTGCAAATGACATTTGCACAGAGGCCATTCATGCTACACCTGGCTCATGCTAGTATGGAACTTCACAGAGAATTACTGCATGGGATCTAGTGACAATGCAGTAAGCCGTTAAACAAAACATCTTTGTCTTACATCTGTCCCTCAAACCTCGGGCTTCCATTTTTACTTCACAGAACTGAAAAAATATCACGCAGGCTGATTTTGGAGTAGCTGTCATGTAAATCATCCCCTTGGGCTTGGGCCTCTCACACTGGGGTTCAGCCTGAATGACTTTTTATAGCCGAGTTATAAACTTTTAAATGCCAGACTTAATCAGAGCTACTGAGATGGCCATTACAGGAGTGGTTTAAGTGGCATAGCCCTGATATATGATAGCACAGAAAGAAGGTAGGTGGCTTATCCACGGTGGGCAGTCTATGTGGAAGGGAGCAGGGTCTGGTGGCTAGAAGCGGGCACGACTGAGGCATAGATCTCTTGAGTTTTGCTCTTGCCCTTGTGCTACTGCTCGGTGACCTCGAGCACGTTCCCTTGGGCTGCACTGCCCTGAGCAGACAAGTCTCAGACCAAAACTTGGGAAGAAAATGCGGCTCACAAGGCCCTGGTTTCCCCAACATGCTAACGAGAATGCAAATATGTATCTGCCTCCCCTAGGGAAGTCACAAGAATTGTTGGTGAAGTGGCCTAGGGTTTAACATGGTGTGGTGCAGACTCAAAACATACAAATCCGAATGCTTCATTTATGGCTGACTTGGAGCAACCACCCACAAAATCATATTGAATAATTATAATTACAGACACATCAGACACCAAAGAATCTAAAATACTTTGGCCTTAAGCTTCTGGGGGACGAATGCCACTTTGCTCCTAAGAGGAGACTCTGCAAAACTCTGGCCTCCCCCTAATTTTGCAAGTTGTGAGACATCCAGCAGGTTCCAGCTGTAAATCTGAAAGCCTCCCCCACTCTGCAACATCTTTGTGGTCTAAGCAGAACTGGACGGTCATCAACGTGAGAGCAGATGCTTGGACAAAGAAATTGATCTGAATGAAAACAGTACAGGAACTTTTCAGGGTCTTCTTTCTAAATTTATTCAAGTATTAAACAAACAGAAACTACAGCATGCATCAGATACTTTTCTTTATTGTACAACAAAACTATGGACTTGTTTGTAATTGCAGCATTTCCAGCAACATCAGGCAGACTTGTCGATGTTATCCAGTTTTGCACAGTCACTAGAGTGTCGCATCATGAATTATTAAATCAGTGCTTCGTGGTAATACATAATTTCTTATCAATTATTCATGCTAATGTGCGTGTAGTTTACTTAATTGTGTTATTGACGATCAAAAGTAATTTCCTGAAAATCCTCAAGGACAGAAAATTTAATCAGCGTAACTACTTTTCAGATGCAATGCTGTTAAGTATTCTTAATTTGCTCAACAATTCACTTATTTATGTACCTTTCTGGAGGAAATACGAGTTTAATCAAACAATTAGATTGAAGAGTTAGTGTACAGAAGGGCTGAAGTTCAACTGAATGCAAGGTAATTATGTTGAAATGAAGTTGGGCCTGCCTTTTTGGAGTGGAATTTTTTTTTAGTCTTTTTTGGGGGGGAGTCCACAAAAAGATTATGATTGGGAAGATCACTAAGAAAACAGTGATTCTCTCTTCTCCAACCGCTCCCCACAACAAAGCACACAGCGATCTATTATATTTTGGTAGAAGAAACATGTTGTTGCTGTTGTTTAAACTAAGCCATAATTTGCAGCCAGAGAAGCCACCTCCACCTACAGTTCAGCAGAGCAGCTCCTGACGCTGTAACACAAAGACAGATCACAGACTACTGCATGTTTCCCCTGCAGTTAGGACAGTTCAGGATTGCCAAAAGAAACACACAGTATGGCAAAAGTAAAGCAAAGTGACTCCATTTGATGAATGTAGGCCCTGACGGACTTCTCTTTGTACTTGGATCCGAGGACAGACCCAGCACTGCCCTCCCCTATGGCTTGTGTCCGGAAGACACAAACCCCACCCTGGGGGAATGCCCAGCACCCCTCACTCTTGGAGCAATGAAGGTGTTTGGTGCTGCCAAGCCAGCCCCTGAAGACGAGGGCTTCTACCCTTTGAATGGGCGCTGACACCAAGCCCTGCCTCAGGGAAAGGAAGGAGTGCACCGGGGGGTACAGGAGGGTCCTGTGAGAAGTCCCAGGTTCTGTGAAATTTGTGGGCTGAGATCACTTGGGTAGGGGAGAGAAATTTTTACTGCCAGCCTTACTTGGGACTGCCTTTCCAAGCACATCCCCAAACTCAGATCCTGTGAGAAGCCAAGCACAATCCAGTGTAAAAGTGTGTGCTCAACGCATTGAAGGAGGTCCTCAGCACAATGTGCAGGATCAGAGCTGACAGGAATCCTTCCACTCAGAGCTGACAGGAATCCTTCCACTAGCCTCCACGTTACTTGGTCAAGTCTCAGAGCGGTGGTTTCACCCTGTTCTCCAGGGACATCTGTGGACAAGCCTAAGGAGTCTGCAAAAGGCACCTGAGAAAAGCAAGTCCATGTCACTAAGTTTAATTCTGCATCTGCATTTCCCATGGAAAAAATGTGGGGCACCCCAGATTAAAATGCCTGCTCTAGAGCATCAGATCTTAGTCTGCTTTGCTCTGGGGAGTTTTGGGTCAGAAATAAGACTATATTTCCTGAGGCATCAATTTCTCCTTTGCACTGTGCCCACTCTGTAATAATTAAGACATTTTCATATCTAGATTCATTACAACAAGGCTTCAGTGAATGGAATAGTCTGGTTTTGGATGGCATAAAGGAATATCCTTCCAAGCTTTATTTCCTCTTTATTAAAAACAAAACAGGCAAGGACATATTTGCAGTGTTGCAATGTTTTCCAGTTTTTCTTTCCAAGAGAATGATGCTAAAGTACCCCCAGCTTTGTGCAGGTCTAGACACAACTGCACTCTGCATTAAATACCAGCATTACTGTTTGAAGCTATGAACGCTGCTCTGGAGTCATGTGTCTTTTATGTCTAACCCAGGGAATGGCAAGAGTAACAGACTAATGGTCACATAGAGACTAGTGCAAGGATTTTATTCACAGGTAAACTGTTCTCAGCAATTTCTCAGTAATCTACTCCATGGAAAGTTTCACTTTTGGGGAAAATAAGGGAGAAGGAAAAAATTATGAAGAGTTTCATTTTGTTTTCTGCTTCTCTTACACCTGGCTTGCCTGGGATAGATTTGGTTGAAGTCAAATGCCATCAGAAAACAGCAGGCCAGACTGGTATATACCTGCATATTCCTTCACCTCTCCTGTGTGCGGTGGGATAAATGATGCCTGGATGCCTCTCCTGCTCCGGACCTCGCATCCAGAAGTGCTGCCCTTCTGCCAGCCCTCCATCTCACACAGGATGGGGACCCGAGCTGTGCGGGAGCAAGCCAGGATCCTGGGTGTTTCGGTGTCCCTGGGATGAGGAGGGGAGGCTAAAAACAGTTTCACGAACGTTTCCAAACACAAATAGTGCTGATAAATCAGGGGAATGAACCTACAGCGGCGCAAGAAAAGCAAGGGTGCGTGAAAGGCAGCCAAAGAGGCCACTCAGATTTGCTGGGTCCCTGGTGGCCCCGTGACATCCTGCTGGGGCACGGCCACACTGCAGTTCACCCCGCGGCAGAGCCCCGGTGGCGGGTCCCTGCCCTGAGCCGAGGGGCCGGAGCCAGTCTGGCCTCATACGCTCTTCTCTCCTTCCATGTGCTCCTTGGCCGGAGAGGGCTGCTTGTCCTGGCTGCCCTCGGGGCCGGGTTTGGCAGGAGGCTGCTAGCGGTGGGCAGGAGGTTTGCAGACTGGAGCACAGCCTTCCAGTGCTCCCGGGCCTTCATGCGCAGCGCAGCCACGCTGGCGGTGCGGTTGCTTTGGCAGCCGTAGGTGGGCAGGAAGGAGAGGCCCATGGGGTCTGGAACACAGCACGAGCACAGCGGGCTCCCTGGGGAGGAAGGAGACAAGGCACCATCACTGATGGGGAAGGTCATGGGGACTGTCTGACTGGTCCCTCCACGGTCAATCTGGAGAGGGCAAAGAAGGGGGTTGGAGTCTCGAATGGCAACAACCCCCTCCCCTACTGACCTTTAGTGGGTACATAGGTGTTCTCTGGATCAGGGCTAGAAAAGCCAGATCCTGTTCTGCTGAGGCCCACTGTGAAGGATCTTACACTGTGAGTCATCCAGTGTGACAAACGGAGTGAGTGAGGGCAAGCAGACTCGGAAGCAAGCAGTGAAGTTTAGATCACACATGAGATTTCCCCATAAGCGAGGCTGAGCTCATCCCCTGCTCTTATATCAAGCTGCCGCTCTGTGGCTACCATCAGCCCCCTGTTGGAAGTGTCCCCTGGCCTCCACCTGCACACTGAAGCCCGATCAATTTGGGCAGCTGCATTTGTTGGGTGAGTGTGGGGGTCCCATCACTTATCTACACCTGAAAGATTACTGCAGAGAGAAAGTTGAAAATATATATCCTGGTTATTATGCAGGAACTAATGACCTTCTCTTATCTCACTGTAAGATGAGACAGGCTTTTCCTTGACCACGCCCCTGCCAACTATTGGCATCATGTCTACCTTTAGGAGTCTGTTCTACCTTCACCCACCCAATGTCCGTGCTGCTTAAGGATGACATGTCGAAGAGAATGGCCTCCAGAAGTAAGCCAAGGCCACCTAAAGTTGCTGCTGCTGACATGGCTTAAGAGTCCCATCAGGAGAGACAGGCCAGAACATCTCCATCCTGTCATCTGAGACACATGGGCTGTCCCAGGCAGGCAATAAAACACTGGAGAGAGGGTGAAATGGGTATTCCTCTCCCTTTAAGCCAACAGGCTACCCTGCAACCCACTGCCAGAGGCAGTCCTCACTCCACCAGCTGCCTTCCTGAGCTGGACCACTGCAGGGTCTTCCTCTGGCTTATCTTTGATAACACTAGAACTTGGGCCAGTTCCCAAACAAGCACACCTGGAAGTGTAGGTTGATCAGTGGGCAGGACATGCAGTCCATCCAAAAAGCCACCCTGGTACCTAGCTTAGATGCACCTATTGAATGAAGGAGAATGTGTCAGAGGAGTAGGGAGGGGAGGCAAGGTGGGACGGCTAAGCTACTACTTAATTTGCTCTCTTGAGAGAAACATTGAGTTACACCATTTTTCCAGGGGTCTCAGAGGCCACACAAACTCCACATCCTCTTCTATGTCCATGGCAAAAGCCTGTCCTTTGCTGATACGCTACCTCCCAACAAGAAACAGCCCAGCCGCGCACATTCTGACATGACGCAATGCCTTCCTCTGATCTTTCCAAGCCAAGGACTTGCTTTAATTTCTGCAGTTAATATTTGAGTTAAATGGCTCATGACTAAGTGATGGAACTAATAACCTGCAGGGAGCAGGTAGTCTTTCTTTTACACTTCTGCTCTCAGTAGCAATGGGTCAGCACCCATCTGCTAGGGATGAAGGCAGACAGTTGTTTGTTTTTAGGATGTTGGCAAGACTTCTCCACAGCAATTGTCAGAGATTAGCAGTTTGCAGGTAATGTTCAGGAAAAAATACTCTTTGCATTTTAAAGAACACAATCTACAGGGGAAAAGTTATTAATGTAACTGGAAAGTCGTCTTTTCTTTTGTAATACACTTCTGATAGAGCATATGATCAGCAGACCAACATTTCCATGGGTCCAGGCATACAAATGAATTGCACAAGCAAGTTTCAGCACTTGACTAAAATCCTCCATTTTTTGCTTTTAGCAATAGGAAGCTCAATCTTGAATTCTGCGGCTGCTTTGAACAGGTCAGAAGGAGGGTTTATAACAAAATCCACTCAGTAACACAACTTACAGTTTTTGCCACCACTAACCACACTCATAAAGTCATTTTTTGCCCTGTTGAATTGCAGCCACTTCAGGGGTGCTGGATGGCCGCTGTTTTAACAAGAGGGAGGAGAGGAAGATCGGCACTTTGGAGTCCCTACAGTTGCAGTAGGTCTTTGGCTGCAGAAGCCACACAGAAGTCTGGTTTTTCACTACTATTAAGCCCCACTACCTTAAGGTTCAGCTCTGAAATGGGGGACCATGGAGGCCTGCCTGTGCATCAGCTGTCTTTTCACTGCTGCTTTCTAATACAAACTGGGACTTTCGAACGTGGCTGTTCAGCTGCCGGGCTGAGGGGCGGGCTGGCCCGTCTGCGGTACCTAACGCAGGACCAAGCACAGACATTGTCTGCTTAGCAGGAGGTGGGGAGAAATGGAAAAGAGTCTTTCCCTTTTCAAAAGAGCAGGAATCAGCTCCATCCCCTAAGAGTAATTTTCATTCCATTGTTACAGAGGGATAAAATATTTATCAGTCTTCAGTACCAATCTAAGCTCTTTGCTTAATAATTAGACCTGATATTACCCAGTGGCTCTGCAACCTGAGGGTGCAGAGTTACCTGTGGTGGAAACTAGGTTATCTCTAGCAAGAATTCACCCATAAACCATTCCTTTCATTTTCACTGAGGTTAAACACCTGAAAAAAATGTAAAGTAACAAGTGTCATTTGCTCCAGGGTCCAGCTAGAATACAGGAGAGTAGGATTTAGCCCTATTTGTTTTTAATGTAAAAGGAAGGTTTAATGTACTTTGCAATTGCCTGTGTCTGTGGGTAGTAAGTCCAGTGAAATCCATCGAACTTTGCTGGCACAAAAGCCAAGATGAACAATGGGGGAATCAGGAGCCCTAGGTCTCCACCTCCCCGTCAGTCAGCCCACGATGGACAGGGATGTGACTTTCACCAAGAAAGAGGCATCCACATAACGCGGACGTCAACGGTTTTTTACATCTTATTGCAGTAACCTTGAGTCCACAGTGGGGAAGGAAGGAATAGTTCCTACTTATTTTGGATCCTCAGAGGAGTTTAGGCACCTAGGTCCCATCAAAACCAGTGAAGGTTAAGCCGTTAGCCCTAGATCTTGATCCAGCTTCCACTAATATCTACAACAGTCTGATATTACTTTAGTGGGATTTGGATCAAGTTGCTACAATATGGTCAGAGTACCATTTTCTTTCTTTCAGGAACTTACTGCCTCCTGTACACAAAATTAAAATACACAATTAGATTTCCATTAACTTACAGCAAATTCTGCTGAATTGATCTGAACCTCCTTGTACTCCTATATGAGATCATACTTTAAATGCTCAGCCTGAACATAAATACTTAATGTAATAAATACAGTCTGAAATATTTGATCCACTTGGCAGTTTAATTGATCTACTACAGAGACTGACAGGAAAAATTAAATTAATTCTGTCTTGTCTCTGCCAACATCACATTTCAATTTTAATAATATTTGATCTACAGTTTTGGTTGCGGACCCTTTTGTGCAGTTCCAAGGTTCAGTTTCACCTGAGAAGAGTGGGGTGGGAATGGGGCCCATATTGATACATAAGTATTTAAAATATATATTTTGTATTTCAACTCAACAGTTTAAAGAATTTAATAGATAGCCTTTCCAAAAGGCAAAACCCCAGTCCCCTTTCTCTTTCAGTATTTGTGCATATCAGCATTTGACGTGGACAGCTGAACAGCAGCCTGACATGGAGGGAAGTGAGGAAGAATTCCCATTTTAAATCCTCACTTGTCAATGCATGCTGTTTAGTTTTCAGAGGAAATATTATGCTTGATTTAAGTATTGTTTTCTTCTGATAGTAGTCACATTGGTTTGCTTGAGCTCTAAATCCTCATAAACTCTGAAATCACTTTCACAAGGGTTGGAAGGTCAACAACAACCTTGAATTCATAGTGTCATTTACCCATGAGAGCTGATTCAAAGGGAGGTCACTCTTGCTCTTCATACATGACGCCAACACTGTGTCTATTAAAGCCTGAGGCACAAGCAGGAAGAACAGAAGTGGCTTTATCCAAACCTTCTTGGGCTCTGAATCAGGAGGTTCAGAAGAACAAGAAAGGCAGGAACTTAAAGCCTGAAACAGAGAGGCACCAGATGCTCCCAGCAGCTCAAGGCTGCTAAAGTTGTGCTAGATGGTTCCTCCTTCTAGTGCCTAAGCTGGTTAAGTGTGGAAGGCACCCTGTGCTGCCCAGAGGCTGGAAGAGCACTTCAGAGCTGACAGCAGAGTCCAAATGTTATCATTTCATATCTCCTTGGCTTGTGAACCCTATATGCCCAATGCAAACAACAAAGAGCTGATGATCTGGTCCAGTTGCTCTAGCAGGAGCCTTTTTTTGTAAATAACTTGACACTGGAACTGGAGGATTTCATCCTCCTTTATTTGTGCCATTAGTACTGTTCCAAAAAAAAAAAAATTCAGAAGCCAGGACCTTGCCTGTTTGGAGAGGAAAGCTGGCAGCAAAGCCCACAAGAGCTGGGAGAACAGAACCAGTCCTTTGGATACTGTCAGCTCAGCAACCAGATCAAAAACATGATCTGACCCTAAGTCCTGCTGACATGTGTCACTCCAAGAGGGGTCAATAGAAACCCCTGCCCAGCTAAGGTCCACTAACCTAATCAAGATTTGTCCTGGAGGAACAAGCCAGCACCCATTTCCTTCCCATGGCTCTTAGGGCTCCTAGTATCTGCATATTCCCTAATATTTGTGATAAAGACAAAAAAAATCTACTTGCCAGGTAGGGCAGTGCTAGAGTCAGGGACCTGTGGTACAGGAATCAAAGGAATTTGTTCAAGGTCTGTGCATCTGCAGCAAATTAAAGAAATGTTTTAAATTCTCTAAAGTCACAGTGGCAGGTAAACTAGGGAAAATGCCAAACAGAACCCACTTGATCTATTTGCTATATTACATGAGAAAAGTCAGTAAGTCCAAAATAAAGAATGACAGAGAAAATAAAGGACCCCAAGAGTTTTGATTCCCGTTCCCCAGTCTCATGGTAAGCAGTGGTGCTTCAATTCAGTAAACACTAGTTCAAGGGTAAGTTAGGTCCTTGGACGCTTCTTTCTCAGCCT